GAGTGGAGGGAAGGAGGGCAAATCCTGGTTCTGCCTCCTGGGGCCCCTCGTCCCGAGCAAGTCCTTTACCCTTGAGCCTGAGCTTCCTCATCTGTAGAGCAGACACGCACCACCCACTTCCTGCGCTGTGGGGAGGGGTACCGCCTGCGAAGGGCCTCGCTCAGGGCCTGTGTTATAGCCGGCGCCCTTAAATGGGAGCACGTGCAACTAGGGGCTGATGAGGCATGCTCGTTTCGCAAGGGCTCCGGTGACAGGCACGTGCATTCTCCGCAGGGCCTGTTCCTTTATAACACAGTTTCCCTCCACCGTTCGTTCAAGGTTGGGCTTACCGCTGAACCACATGATGAACATCATCTTTGGTGTGATTTTATGATCACGGAAGAAATTCAGGAGGTAGGAGAGAGGGAAAATGTTCACCGCTCTGCCAAACAGCACGAGCACCTGTTAACAGCAACGAACTAAGTCTTAACATGGAAACCTCTGGTTCTTCAAGCTGAAGCTCGTCGAGGCTAACACAGACCTGGTAACACGCCCATTATAAAGGCAGCATCCCCTTGTCATCAAAGATATGAACTCAGTGCTAGGCAGAGACCCAGGACATGCCAGCTTCTATGTGTCTAGGAAAGGATTAAAGCTTTGTATGTTACGTTTCCATTGTCAGAAAGAGAGGACTAACAAGGTATCAATGACAGCTTCAGTAATGCCAAGAGGCCCTGCAGAAGTACCCAGAGATTAATTTAAGGTAATCTGGCTCCTCCAAATGTGCTCTGCTGTGGGACGGGCCTGCACTAATCATTCCCAATGGGCTAGCTCTGGAGGAACAGACAAGGTATTCCTGCTTCTCCCATGGGGGCCCCACTCCTCAGGGAAAGGAGCGAAGACTGAAAAGCGCCTACCTATGTCCGTAAATGCTGCTCCCCGTGCAAGAGGAATGCACAGGTGGGTTCTAACAGGAGGTCACATACACCCTGTCTAGCCAGTTGCTTGCCATGGCTTTTGGTTCCTAGCCATCTCCAAAGGCATGTCGATTTTAACAAAATATAGCTTTATGTAAAGTCTAAATCTTATCTAAGTGGCTTCTTAGAACTACTTATTAATTTACTTCCAGTTTCTTCATCTTGGTTCTCACCATAACTAACTTGAACAGAATAATATATATATATACATACATTCTAAGGCTTTAAGTTTATTCTTTTAACCAGCATGAATTGAGTGTGCTTTGGACTGTTGTGCCTTGGAAGGTCAAGTTAATAATTACCCATAATCATCTAACATTTATATGCCAGACAATGCTCTAATCATTTTATATGCATTATCTTGTTCAGTTTACATCCTTCCAAAGGTCTCATGAGGTAAGTATTACTGTCTCTATTTTAGAGACAAGTAAACTGAGACTGCGAGAGGTTAAGTATTAAGTAACTGGTCCAAGCTGACGCAGGCAGGAAGTGGTGGAGCCAAGTCCCAAACCTGGCTCGGTCCCCAGAGCCCATGCCCTTGACCACTGAGTCTAAGGTAATCCATCTGAGCAGCACAGGCCATCTCTAGGAGTGCCAGGGCCAGACTGACCAGTTGCTCAGGGGAAACTGAGTCACCACCCCAGGCATTGCCTCATTTTTCTTTCCTTCGCAGCTCATGGCTGAGATCGCCACCTCCCTGTTTCACCCACTGAAATCTAATCCTCCATTCCCACATGTGTGTTTCAGGGTTGACCAAATGTGGCCCCTTTCACCCAGTGACCACATTAAAGGCTACTATACTTTCTATAAAAGACTTTTGCTGCTGTTTTCTTGTCCTAAAACCTGAGTTTGGAGGACACATAACAGTGACGAAAGCAATGAGCTTGTGCCGACTAAGGTAGAAGCACCCAGATTGCAAGGAGAAACATCTTTTTCTTTTTCTTTTTTTTTTTTTTTGGTGGTATGCAGGCCTCTCACTGTTGTGGCCTCCCCCGTGGCGGAGCACAGGCTCCAGATGCGCAGGCTCAGCGGCCATGGCTCATGGGCCCAGCCGCTCTGCGGCATGTGGGATCTTCCCGGACCGGGGCACGAACCCGTGTCCCCTGCATCGGCAGGCGGACTCTCAACCACTGCACCACCAGGGAAGCCCCACATCTTTTTCTTTAGGGTTCCTTATCTTCTCTGCCTCAGGTTCCCCATATGCCAAATAGGTAGGCCTCACTGGTTTGCACGTGGTAGGTGACAGTGATTTAAAAGAAAAAGCCTGCCTCTCAATAGCTGTGTTTTGTTAAGTGGAGCTGGTAATAAAAGTTAAGATGAATTATGGTAACTCAACAAGGTGTGCTTTGTAAGTGCCTTAAATTAACAGAGGATCTAAAAAGACAACAAACAGATCAAATTAGGGACAGGAGTATAAATCAGCAGGAGGACCTATGGGAGATGAGTTCACACTGACGGGACAGAGACACAGGAGGGACACAGACGAGGGACCTGGGAACACCAGGCTAATGCCCAAATGTTAGCCATTCCCGTCACTTTGATCAGATGCCTGAGGGAGTTGGACCTTTCTTTTAAATGCTTAAACATTTATTTTTCTCCCATTCCATTCCCAAGATCTGATTTGAATGCAAATGATTAAACTTCTATTTTCCTTTTTTAAAGGTACATTTTAACTTGTCTCCTACTGCCACCACCCCTCTCTCCTCCAATTACAATGCAACACTGTTTCCCAAAGCTTCTCAATGATAAGAATCACCTGGGATGATGATTCCTCCAGATGAATCTCCAAAGGAGGTAAGGGCCTCTAATCTTTACCTTGAACAAGTGTCCAAGGTCATGCTTATAAATGGACACATTTGAAGGAAACCACAGCAAGAATTAGGTATATTCATTATAATCATCCAGAAAAAGTAGAAAAGAAAAAGAAATCTTCCCCAGTTCTACAACCACTGTGAACATTTGGCTGCATTTTCTTACATATTTTCTTTCCTATGCATGCTGTTTTTACATGGTTATGATCAATTACACATTTCAATTCTGAAATCTGCTTTTACTACCTAAGGTTAAAAACTGGTAAATTTTTTTTTTTTTTTTTTTTATGGCTGCGCCTTGCAGCCTGCAGGATCTTAGTTCCCTGCTGACCAGGGATCAAACCTGTGCCCCCTGCAGTGGAAGCTCGGAAGTCTTAACTACTGGACTGCCAGGGAAGTCCTGAAAAAAATGGTAATTTTTAAAGAAGACTATAACAGTTCAAGGCCACTTAAAATTAAAACCAGGCAAGAATTCTTTTCTAGGGATATTTATTTACTTAATTCCATCCCTTCCCATTTATTGTATGTTCATGAATTTTTAACAAAAAGAAACTTCAAACAGACGGTTGTCTATGTAGCTGTTGACTTTGACCAGTTAACAGTTACATAAATGAATCCAGAATATGTGGTTATCGATCTACAAATAAGTAGTTAAATAAAAAACAAGGAAAATACTTACTATGCACCAGATGACAAAGGAAATTTCAAACTTGTGAGGGAAACTAAAAATGGACAGGCCAAGAAATGCAAACACACATGTTTCTGAAACAAACCAAAGAATGGATTATTCAGCCTCAACTATTTTCTTCCAATACAGCACGGGATTGTTATGCAAGCAAACATTCAGAAGTTAATCAGAATCCAGTATACCACTTTGCTTATTTTCTGGAAAATCCTGCAACCAGTACCTTGGCAAACTTGTCCTTTGATTCTCTCATTCTTTTCTATCACGTAAGCAACAAGTGCTTGCTATTCAGAATCTCCTAATTTAATAAGCCAGCTGTCAAATACCCATGCAAATAAATACTCTCCCACCCAGGGACGGTGATAAATATATGAATCTGTCCATTTGCTGAACACTGTGATTAGCAAGGATCCCAACTGAGGCAAAGTGGCAACAATTCAGAGCAAATGACTGCAGACGCCCTGCGACTAGTGTGAAAGGGCCCTTTGTTAACTTCCTTGCCAGAGTGGACAAAGCCAAATGACTGACTTCACATATTTAATGTTGCCACAAAGTTTAGAAGAAGGCTTACATCCTGCAGGATTTGCAGGAAGAAATACATTTCAACTCTTGGCTCCATTCCACAAGTCAAAGAGAGTCTGACATTTACTCTTGCTGTACAAGCAGTCACTTGTGTATCCTAAGAAAAGGCACCTTAGAAATTCCTAGCACTAGGCTCCCCGCTTAGACTGTGACATCCTCCAGAATAAACGTAGAGCCAGGGAGACAAAGACACTATTTTAAAAGTTGAGCATCATAAAACATCAAGGCTGTTTTGAAACATTTCAGCAATGTTTTCTTCTCCAAATGTGTATCCTTTTAGAACAAGTCCACAAGCTGGACAGTATACTTACCCTTCTCCTCCTTGAATGTTTTTATCAAATATTTCTGTCATCTTTTGAAATCAGCTTATTTAGAACACATTCAGATCTATGTAATGCTTTTCCCTGGCAGCATGAATACTATTATGTGGATACATCATGGTTAATTTAATGAATCCTTGATGGATATTTAGACTGTTTCTGTTTCTGAGATTGAAAAAGCAACAACAAACATCCCTGTGCACAGACTAAATCCCTGATGGTAGAATCGCTGGGTCAAAGAGTATGTGCCTTTTAAATTCAGACTGATGCTGCAAATGACTCTCCAAAAAAGATGGCATCAATGTATATGCCCATCAACAGGGCCTATTTTCTATACGTTTGTGCCAGAAGTGGGGAATCACCAAACTTAAAATCTGATGGGTACAAAATAGAATTTGATGGATGTTTTGCTTTACATTTCCTTATGGTGAAAGAGTCTTTCGCCATGACTTTCTGAGAAGGGTGCTGTGGAAACAATACCCACTGGGCCAGGAAGAGACAGACCGCTTCCAGGCTCACTTCTTAGCCATGAGACAGTGCTCAGATCATGTGACCTGAGACCCCCTGTTTGTGGAATGAAGTCTCTGCACAGCTTGCCCCCGACTCCCAGCACGTGACAGTGTGGAACTGGTGCTTCGAAATGAGACAGCCCACAGAAATGCCAGGGGAGTGCTGATGATGACAGGCAGAGCACAGCCACTTGGGGGCCGGCGAAAAGGGACAGTGTGAGAGTGGTTCCTTCACTCCCAGGTGTAAACTAGGGGCAGGTACATGATGGGTTCATCAGACTGTGATGCATAACTGAAACTGCTTAAGAGAAACAGTCATCACGGTGTGGCCCAGGCCAACGATGACACCTCTAATTCAGGGCTTGCCTGAGACACATCCTTCAAGATGCTCTTGTGAACAAAGGATCCTGTGGACAAGTTTGGGAAATGCTGTCACTCTGTCTTTCTCTTAGAAATTCACAATGCACCTTGGCGGAAAAGTCTCACAAGTTCAGAAACTTGTTAAACTTTATTTACCCCAGGATTTCCCAAACTGTTTTTTGACTATGGAGTCTTTTTTCACTTAATTCCCATCAATATCAGTTCCAAGGAACGCATTTTTTAGAAACGTCACTTTCATATATTGCAAAAACATGAGTCTCAAATGTTCGTTATTCGCAGTTCTCGTTATTTTTTGGTCTTAAAATTATAGGCATCGAAAGTTCCATTTGTTAGGTATTAGGTTTACTTTATGGAATGTGAAAGCCAGAGTAACAAACAAAAGATAAGGGAGTGCAGTATCTGGCTCTGAGGAATTCTGCTGCCTCTTCTGTCAGGGAAAATCTCAACGGACTCCTGGAACAGGCTGAGGAAGAACAAGCAGCTCTGGGTAGGCCCACGGGGGACCACACAGAGGCACAACTCACCGCACAAGAAGGCCACAGTCCGGAGGGTTTGCTGCATGAGGATCTGGGTGACTGGGGACAGGTTATGGTGTGTGTAGTGAGACATCACGATGCCTGAGAATAGGATGGCCATAATGCCTAGAGAGGGACAAAGGGGCAAAGTGCACAGACATGAACAGAACAGAAAAGCACCTTCCATGTGATAAGCAATAATGCCTCACACTTCCTACAAGTTCCTGGAGCCTACAGTATTAGGTGTTTTAAGAAAAAGGATGGGAAAATAATACCTGAGGCCTCCCAGAGGCTGCAGAGACCTGCTAAGGGCCCGTCTCTCTGGCAGCTTCATTACCGGCTGGGTGACCTTGGGCCAAGTTTCTTCCCCTCACCAAGCCTCAGTTTTCTCAACTGTACAGTGGGACTAATAGTACCCACGCTCATGGAGATGTTAGGAGGGTAATGCAGAGAAGCCATGTCAAGTGCCCTTCACAAGACCAGGGCAGAACAGGTGTGAGCCGTCACTGTCATTCATGGATATAATAGGGGCAGGTGAACCACTCTTGGGGCAGAAAGGGAACATAAGAATCTGGGTATGGAGAATGGGTGGATTTTTATTTACTTTGTCATACTTTAATTTTGAATTTTCCCATAATCGCCATGAATTAACCTTATAATATGAAAAGAGAGATGTGTTATTTAAAAAAAAGTGATGTCTTTTCTTTAAAGATCACCATGAGAGAGTCTACAACTTTTGTTGTGTACTCAGGATTTGAGTTTCAACTTTTGTCCACTGCCCCTAATCACTGCTGAAGCCACTTCCATGGGTTTCCTCTCAGGGTCTCCCTGGCAAGGCAGCAGCAAAGAGGTCTTTATTTCATGTAAGGAAGCTGAGATTTTTACAAAGCCATTAAACAGGCTGCCAAGATACATGAATTCCAAGTCAAACTTTATAAGCAAATATTTAACTCACTTCTGCCATTTTGCAGAAACAGATTACTGGCTAACTTTCCATTTAAAAATGAGTGAAGCAAAGGAGAATGTCCTGCTTGGGAGGGCAGGCAGCAAAGGAGCTGGACAGGAAGTGCGCTTGGGGGACAGAAGTTTAGCTTTGAATACCTGAAGGCTGGGTCTCTTCACAAGAAGACTCAAAAAGGGGCCCTGCTTCCAATTTCCCTCTTCCATTCCCAGAGCTAGTACAAGGCTTGGAAGAATGCCCTTGGTCTGTTGGTCCAGTGTTACCTGTCATCCATTTAAGTGTTCCCACTTTCAAGTGACAATCCTCTCCTTGGTCTTGCCATGGGCAGAGCATGTCTGGCATACTAGCCTGACTTTTACACCCTAATCTTGAGTTGAGGAAATATATGCACAGGAGTCAAAGAGATGTCTTTATATCTGACTGTACATAAATGAAGTTTTGTTTTTTCTTTTTGGTGCAATAAAGTTTGTTTTGGCAGAAAACAAAATGATTGAAAAACACAGAATTGCGTTGGAGACATTTCAACTGCTAAGCTTGCTGCATAAACAATACCTCACAAAACAGAGGAAAACCCTGCTCTTTGCGGTGCCCAACAGGTATTTGCTGGCCGGAGAGACAGCAGTAGCTGGAACGTGTTATCTCCTAGCCCTCCTGGGAAACGGCAAATTCCTTTGCTCTTTCATTTTTCCCAAAAAGGAGGCCAGACCGGGAAATTCCAGCAACGCTGCCCAAGAGCCACACCTGACGAGCCTGGAGAAGGGAAAGGAGAGGGCAGGAGACTTCTTCACCTGCTACTTCAGAGCAGCGAGAAGACTCGGAGAGTCACGAGTCGTTCTGAGCCGCTGCTCCGCTAGATAAAACACACAGTAACAACACCTCCGGCTGTCCCCTCAATTCATCTGCTCTTCTCAGTAAGTTCCTGCAGGCGACCACCCGAGAGCTTCTCCTTCCTGACTCTGCACCTAGACCACAGACGCCACAGGCAACGTGAGGCGAAACAGTGGGAGAGACCAGAACCGTTGAGGTTGGGGGAGGAGCACGCGGCACAGCACACTTCAGTTCCTATGGACTTGCTCCTAAGCCTCTCTCTTCCTTCCGTGCAGTCCAATGCTAGAGACGGCTCTGGCTTCTGGGCTCTCAAAGGGCTTTGTTTCGCCAGCCTGCTTCAAGAAGGGTTACAATTCACTGCAAAGCTGAGGCTTTGGAGTTCTTACCCTGAAGGGAAAGTCAACCCCAGAGGAGCCTGAACCACTTAAGCTGTGAATCACAACCGCTTAAGTTGTGACAGGAGTGGCCTTCCACCCACGTCGTCATTCTGCCCACAGAACGAGGTCGTCATAGCCCACGGGAGTCCCGGTATTGAACAGCCACTGTAGAAAGCCAAAGGTTCTGGAAAGTCAGCTCTGACAGTGAAACGTGGAACTTCCCGTGGGACTAGCATCAGGAGAGGCCACTGCCAGAGCCCCAGCAAGCTTTCCTCCACAGGAAACAAGGAGACAGGCTCAACGCAGCAGGGGTCTGGCTGGCCATTTTAGTCTGGTGCACTGTAGGCCAGGGGTTGGAAACCCAAACTCCTCAGGGGCCAGACCATAAAAATAAAGACAAAAACAATAAGTGGGTGAGTGGCACATGGGCAAAGAAGGCACAAGCCCATCTACAAAGGGCTGACGGCAGCCCTGTGGATGGGGGCCTAGTGCTGACCAGTCTTCCGGTTTTTGAGAAACTCCAGAAATCTGTTTCTTATGCGAAATCTTCCAACTTTTTTTTTTTTTTGGCCGCGCCGCACAGCTTGCTGGATCTTAGTTCGCTGACCAGGGATCGAACCCCGGGCCCCCAGCAGTGAAAGCAGTGAGCCCTAACCACTGAACCGCCAGGGAATTCCCAGAAATCTTCTGACTTTTAACGACAGCAACTAATTGAAGCGTTTAAACATTTTCCGTAGAGGTAAACAAATCCCATTTGGGGGCTGAATTTGGACCATATAGAAATGGGCCCTCTGGACAACAAAAGAGTGACCAGCCAGCCACGACCTTCATGCCAGGCTAGTCTGGGGTTGAGGGAACTCTCAAATCCCAGGGGCTAAAGGAAAGAGTCAGGGTCAGCAGTGGGTACAAAAGCCGCAGGGACAGCTCAAGTGTCTCCCCTATGTGCCCTCCCTAAGCCCAGGTGACTTTACCACTCAGACGACCCTCACCCACTGCAGCTGCCCCCGGCATAGGCTGCGAAGACACTGAAGGGGAAACCGGTCCAGCAGGCTCACTCCTGGGGCTAAAAGGCCTGGGGATTTAAAACATGCCCTGGAGTGAAGCATCCTGGCACAGTTACTTCTTTCAGAAGGCAGATGCATTACAGGAAGTAGACAGCAGTGCAGCGAACGGCCAGCCTCTGAAGGAAGGCAGGAAAAGAGAGGGAGGGAGGAAATCCACTTCTAGTCTCAGTTAAATCCATTGTTTCAAATGTAATTAAGGAATAAAGGGATTCAAATCCAGAAGGCAGGAGTTGAGAGGGTATTGTGTACAATTTCTATTGCACTGAACTTTACTGTGGGTAAAACACGATGTACTTCTTGAAGGCTGTGTCAGGCCATAGTCAGTTTTGTTAATTACCCAACAAGGAACATATTTTGCTATAAAAAATCTGAACTCAGAGGTAAAGAGTAAAACAAGACTCTCCATTCACACCGCCTGCCCAGAGGTAACTACTATTAACAGTTTAACATGCAGATTGCCAGCTCTTTCTACTATGCCATTATAAAGTTTATCTGTCTTTAAAAAAAAGTAATAAACAGGGTCTTCCCTGGTGGCGCAGTGCAGGGGACACAGGTTCAGGCCCTGGTCCGGGATGCCGCAGAGCGACTGGGCCCGTGCGCCACAACTACGGAGCCTGTGCTCTAGAGCCCGCGAGCCACAACTGCTGAGGCCTGCGCGCCTACAGCCCAAGCTCCACAGCAAGGGAGGCCACCGCAATGAGGGGCCCGCACACCGCGGCGAAGGGTAGCTCCCGCTTGCCACAAGTAGAGAAAGCCGCGCACAGCAGCGAAGACCCAATGCAGCCAAAAAAAGAAATAATAAATATATTTTTAAAAAGTAATAAACAGTATCATACTACAGATATGACACGTATTACTGGCACAGTGATTTTTAAAAAGTCCTCCAACACTTGGCTTTGCGTGTGTAACAGAATGCCAACTCCTTCCCAGGCCTACAGAACCCTGCGGGACGGGGTCCTTGCCCTTCTGTTTCAGCCACGCTATCTTCCTGCTCTTCCTGGAGCAAGCCAAGCTCCCTCAGATCTATCTGGGACTCTCGGCACCTGCTGCTCACGCTGCCAATCACTCCCTCCCCAGAGCCTCCAACACTGGCTCCTTTTCACCACACAGGTCTTAGCCCCAGTGCCACCCCTCTGAGGACACCTTCCTGACCCCCTACCTCATAACGTTCCTGCCCCCGTGAAACTCCATCGCATTACTGTGATTTCTTTTTTTCACATCACTTCTTACTACCTGAAATTACCCTATGTGTTTGCTTACTTGCTTATTATCTTCCTTCTCCAGGCAGAAACCTGATCTTGTCTTGTTTATTACCGTACCTCTGAAACCAAGGAGCGTTCTCGGCACAGAGTAGGCATTAAATAAATACTTACTGAATGGATGAGTGAAAGGTTTTTCTTTTTCTTTTTAAAATTTAATTAATTAATTTATTTTTGGCTGCGTTGGGTCTCTGTTGCTGCACGCGGGCTTCCTCTAGTTGCGGCGAGCGGGGGCTACTCTTCATTGCAGTGCACAGGCTTCTCATTGCAGTGGCTTCTCTCCTTGCGGAGCATGGGCTCTAGGTGTGTGGGCTTCAGTAGTTGTGGCACGTGGGCTCAGTAGTTGTGGCTCACGGGCTCTAGAGCACAGGCTCAGTAGTTGTGGTGCACGGGCTTAGTTGCTCTGTGGCATGTGGGATCTTCCCGGATCAGGGATCGAACCCATGTCCCCTGCGTTGGCAGGCAGATTCTCAACCACTGTGCCACCAGGGAAGCCCCAGAGCGGCACTTTTATTATGTGTACTTCATATGAGGAAGTGGAAGCTCAGAGTGGTTAGGTCTGCTCTCTACAGTTACACAGCTAATGAGAGGTGGAGTTGGGATACAAACCGAGCCTGTCTGGTGCCCTTAACCGCTGTGTTCTAGACACACAGATTTAGGTAAATGATTCTTAGGGAGAGCATCCTGTTTGGTGGCCCTGGTAACCACTTAGTCCTTTGTGACAGTCAGGAAAAGCAGAGCACAAAGAGGAAGGAGGGGACAGCACCAAAGTCACCTTTCCTGTTTGTACCCTTACATTAACAGGGTGAGCCTCCCCTTCTCTGAAAACCCTGCGTGACAAACATCCCACCAGCAGAGTGTGGGCAGAGCCAGCCCGTCACCCAGAGGCGGACAAGTGTGTTCTTGGCTTGCATGTGCTCTTTTCGGCCCCATTAGCGTGCACAGCAGAGGTCCCCAAGGAAACGAAACCCCTACAAATAGAAAACACTGCCTCTCTGAAGAAAAGACAAGAAAAACACTCCCTGGTCTTAATCACAAATTTCAAATGGATGCATGAAATATATCTTTGCAAACAGGTACTCAGTGTTCATCTCAAAGGGGTGGGGAATGATCTAGAAAAACAGAGGTAAAAATAGCTAGGCTAGAGCCAAATGACTCACAGGTAGTGTTTATGTAAGTGCCCAAATTCAGGAAAGATAAGAGAGGGAACAGGATGGCAGATACCGGGATGAAATTATCCAAAAGAACTGGCTTGGGATTAAAAACAAACGAGACCCTGAGGTTTACAAAGTTCTCCAGCGAAAATGGCCAGAGTCCTCTCTGCCTCCTCCTTGGCAAGACCTGCTCACAGAGGACCCATGTGTGATGCCAGACACTGACCCGAGGGAAGGAGAATTCTGCTCAGCAGCAGAGGAGGAACAGAAAAAAATATTTCAAGAAACTGATAAAAACATACTACATTTGATAAAAGCCATAAACTTACACAAACTATAAACCCATGAAGTTCAACAAATCCCAAGAGGAATATAAAGAGAACCACACCAAGGCACATCAAAATCAAACTGCCACATACCTGTCAAAATGGCTAGTTTTTAAAATTAAAATAAGTGTTGATGAGGATGTAAAGCAGCTGAAACTCTCTCATACATTCTGGTGGGGATGCAAATGGCCCAGTCACTCTGTAAAACACTTGGCAGTTTCTGATAAAGCAAAATATACACCTACCATAAGACCCAGCAACCTTACTTACTCCTCAGTATTTATCCAAGATAAATGAAAATACGCATATTAATAGCCAAAATCTGGTAAAGTCCAAATGTCCTTCAAAGGGTGAATGGAAAAATCGGCTCAATAAGAATGTAAAACTACTGATACAGCAAAAATGTGGTGTCTCTCAAGAACATTACAAAAACTGAAAGAAGTCACAAAAGACTAAAAGCTACATGATTCCCTTTATATGACATTTATATTCTGGAAAAGGCAAAACTATAGTGGAAGAATGCAGGTCAGTGGGTGCCAGGGCCCAGGGACGGGCTAAGGGATTGACTGCCCTTGGCAGTCTGACCTCATCCTTTGACTGAAGGCCCTTCAGAGGGCTTGTTTTGAGAGAGAGGCAACAATGGAAGAGATGTTTTTTTTTTTTTTTTTCTTCTTGCGTTATGCGGGCCTCTCACTGTTGTGGCCTCTCCCATTTGCGGAGCACAGGCTCCGGACGCGCAGGCTCAGCGGCCATGGCTCACGGGCCCAGCCGCTCCGCGGCATGTGGGATCCTCCCGAAACGGGGCACGAACCCGCGTCTCCTGCATCGGCAGGCGGACTCTCAAGCACTGCGCCACCAGGGAAGCCCGGAAGAGATGTTTTGATCTCTGCTACAGGATGGCCGGTAAAGAGAAAAGGTGACCGTGACAACACTGAGTTCCTGGATCCAGCCAGGTCTAAATCCAGATGTATCCCTAGAGAGCCAGTTAGTCCCCTTTACTGCTTAAGCTCTTCTGAGTTGTGACTGTCTCTTATGATTGAAAGTGACCCAATCGACATAACCTTTCACCAGGCAGGACAACGGACCATCAACCCCAGCATTTCAACACTCTGTCACTTACCTGAGAGTGAGATTCCTTCTGCGAGCCCATATGGAAGATAAGCAAAAATGATCATCATGCCAAACTCCAAGGAAGGCGTTTTCCTCAAGTCAATATGCTTTAGCACGTAAATGACAACTGTCAAGGAAAAAGAATCAAAGGACACTTACGGGTGATCTAGAGAAGTCACAAAACTGCTGCCTTCCAAACAGAGAAGGTAAACAATGGATACAAAGATTTGGGAACATCTCAAGGTAACAGCTGAAAATTTGTCATTATGGATTTTTTCTTTGCAGGGAGACTCTTGTTTTAAGGAAGGGCATCTGACAAAATACTAAGAGATGTAAATTCCTGAGACAAACGGTAGGGGAAAACTGAAGTCACCCTAAGTCATTTCATTTGGAAATGCTGACTTGGAGGGCTGGAAGCCACCGGGGGATGGGGGGTGGGGGCGGGCTGTGGGGAGCTGGGGCTGCAGACAGACTGAGGACACCCCACACTGCCAGGTCCCTTCCAGGGCCGTGCCCCTCTTCCACTCCACTGACCACATCAGCTGAGGTCACTAATGAGGTTTCCAGAATCCTGGGGATCAATGCCCCATTGAAGGACCTTCTCTCCTATTCCTGGACATTTATAAACTCATGTTCCTGTGAAAGGAGAATCTTCCACGTATTCAAATGTTGATGCCTGTGCTGGAGCCCACAGCACCCATTTACTGGGGCTTCATTAAAGAAGATGCTCTCCCCGCCCGCCCCTCTGCTCTTTTAAATAAAGAGATAAATACAGAGGAAAATACTGAACTAGAAAAAGTTTTCTTTTCCATTCTGTTTATTGATACAATATAAGAAGCTGTCAGCTGATTCAACAGCACCTTGAGACTTCTGGACATAGGAACTGACGGGAAAATTCAACAGGATGGCAGACAAACATGCCTGTCTCAGGCGGAAGAGGCTTTCCTGGCCGGCCATCTGTGAAACACACTGCTGGCGGAGGAGGGCCAGGTGGCCATCTCCCCAAGATGCATGCAGGCTTACGCTCACACAGAAATGGTCTGGTGCCTGTTCCTGTTTTAAACGTGACAAATTTTCTACAGCAATAAAGGTGTCAGCGGCCTTAACAAGTCTCTTGGCTTCTATGGCTGGAAAAGCTTATGGGTTGTTAAGCTACAAAATCAGTGTGAATAACTTAGATGGAGCTCACTTTGAAAGTCTCTTTTCTGGTTCTTCCAGATAAATACTTTCAGTGGCGTAGAGATTTTCTCAATTTGACATTTTCAAAGGAAATTAATTTCCGATTTTCTTAATATAAAAAGTGAGACAGCAGAAAATGAAATTCATCTGAATGCAGTTATCACACTCTGGGAACTGAGAAGACCCCAAAGTCAGATCTGATACTCAACAGTGTACATGTTTTTTAAGCTTTGAAAAGTGATATCCTAAATTTCACATGTTAAAATTTAAAATCCTTGAGTTTAAATTAAAGTGTTCTTCAAACCAGAACTAAGCATAAAAATCCTCCTTAAATACGACTTTAGGCTAAAATTGGTCCCCTTAAAGAACTGGAGAAAATGACGAGAGACGGATGTAATTAGGAATAATCTTCTCAGCCACGTGTGTTCATCATATTAAAAGGATATTAATGCAGAGATTAAGCCAGTGAGAGTGCCGAGTGCTGCTGAGCCAAAGAACATTTTGAGGAAGTAGCCAAGGGCTTGTAAAAATGTTTGCCACCCACTGACATCTGACATATTTTTTCTTGTTAAACCTTCAGCTGTGCTAGGAAATAAAAGAAAAAAAAGAAAGAAGTTAAAATGTTATAGACAAAGTTATTAGAAATTAACTTAGAACTCAAAACTTATTTCTGGCTTATTCTCTCATTCATTGATTCATTCATCATTCAACCTGTTAGTCAAACACTTATTTGTTCACCTACTTTGTTCCAGGCGCTGTGTTCTCATCCCAGAGATGAGAGCAGGTGCCTGCCCTTAGGGAACTCTATAGTCTAATGAGGGAGAAAAACAAGATGGGCGGCTTCCCTGGTGGTGCAGTGGTTAAGAATCCACCTGCCAATGCAGGGCACATGGGTTTGAGCCCCAGTCTGGGAAGATCCCACATGCCACGGAGCAACTAATCCCGTGCACCACAACTACTGAGCCTGTGCTCTAGAGCCCGTAAGTCACAACTACTGAGCCCACGTGCCGCAACTACTGGAGCCCACGTGCCTAGAGCCCGTGCTCTGCAACGAGAGAAGCCACTGCAATGAGAAGCCCGCGCACTGCAACGAAGAGTAGCCCCTGCTCACCACAGCTAGAGAAAGCCCACGCGCAGCAACGAAGACCCAACACAGCCAAAAAGAAAATAAAAAACAAACAAGATGGAAACTAGGACCATCTCAGGAAAGAGCAGAGAGCTGTAGGAAATACATGGTGGGCATCGAACTCAGACTGGTGGGGGTCTAGGAAGGTTCTTTATGACACATGGGCTGGGTTTCAATTTAGGATAAAGAAGAGCTAACCAGGTGAAGAAATGAGGGAATGCACCCATGGCAGAGGGAAGAGCATGTGTGGAGGTAGGGAGCCCCAAAATACTAGCAGCGTATCTAGGAGCAGGAAGTTACACAGATGACTGTGGACAGAACACAGGAACTGGCTGCTGGGGGAGGGGCTGGCGGGGAGGACAGTGGCAAGAGTAAGGCAAGAGCAGCAGGTGGGGCCAGGCCCCATGAAAGGCTTTCGATGAACCAAGCTAAGGAGTTGGTGTTTCATCCTGAAGGCCCTGGGGAGTCACAGGGAGTGTTTTCAGTGCGGGGTGGGCGTGGGGGAGTGGAGATCCTGTGGGATAAAACCCGAAACTGAGGCTGTGGCATGAAGTCAGACTAGAATGGAGCCTCCTGAAGAAGAAATATCAGTGGGTAAGGCCCAGAGTGGGGATTTGGGAGGAGACATCAAGAGGAAGAATTGAAAGGGCTTTCCTTTCACTGCTACAGAGCAAAGAAAAATGTCAGCAGCCATTAAATTCAACTGTTGGTTTTATCCCCAAGGGTAGAACCATTATACCATTAAAAGAGCTATTCTCATTAAATATCCTCCTCCTGCTGAGTCCACCTTCTCTCAAATCCATCCACTTCTCTCCCTCCCTCCCCTACTATCCTCCAGCTCAGGGCTTCTGCCTTGCGGATCTCTCTCTCTATACATCCTGCTCTTCCTAGGAGAACCCATTCTCTACTCAGGGGCCTGAACGATCCCTTGAAAATGCACATCTGATGGAGTTACTGGCCTGTTCAAAACCCCTCGTCAGTCTCCTGCTGCTTTCAGGGGGAAGCTCAGTCTTCTGAGCCTGACGGACTCCTCCCCACCACACCTCCCCTCCCATCTCCTCATTCGGGCTGGGCTCCACTGTCACTGACACCTCCCGGTAGGTCGTAGGTCGTATGTCACTCTTCCTGGGCTCCAGCTGACTCTGGCTTGTTCTCAGAACACAGAGTCAGTGACACTCCCTCAGGGACACCTGCCTTCACATAGGCCAGCCCATTTACAGGCTCTCCTGGTGCCTGACGTCTCCACAGCAGTGGAACTAGTGAATCATTCCATGAGGACCATGCCTGTGTCCACCTTGTTCACTGCCATATGTCCAGGGCCTAAGCAGAGCCCAGCACACAGAAGATACTCAACAAATTTTTGCTGAATCAGTAAACAAAACAAAGAATTGTCAATAGTAATGTTCAGCTTCATTAATTAGCGTTTCATGAACTGGTATAATTTTAAAGCAGGATAATTTGTGATAAAAGGGTGGCTTGGTCAGATAACCTCAGCCTTTTGTGGTGATTTACACCATAATATAACATAATGAAGGTTCTGAGAAGTCCTGCAAAAAAGAAAACCACGTTTTTTCACATAAAAGTTTTCTAAACTCACCCCAATAGCCCCATTCCCTTTCTTTCCCAGCAGATCCCATGTTAACATCCCACCTTGGGGAAAGCTGGGAACCAATAAGGTTCTTATTGGGAAAGTACTTTTGAAGGCTAAGATCACCTCTAGGTCCCAAATGGATCCGTGGGCCACGAGCATAGCATCCAGCCCCCTCATTTCATTACCACAGCTGGGACACTGGCTGGTGTCACTGCTTTCTTTTCATGCAAAGGAGACTGAGGCCTAACGAAAGTGGCTAATTGGGTGAGGTCACACCAATGGTTAACAGCAGACCCAGGGCCGAGGCCAATGGTTTCTGAACTCAAGATAAATGAAGGTAGAATTCGGACTCTTTCTAGCCTGGAAATGTCATGCATTATATTTTTTCAGGTCATGTTCCTCACACCTTAAAGAATAAAAGACAATGTTGCTTCAGGATCCATTTCATGAGCTTTAGCTGCAGCTGCAGAGAACTAAAGCAGTTTCCTCTACCGCAATTATTGTAAGAATAGATTGTCATAGTAACAAATCAAAGCTAAAAATCATTTAATTAAGGTTAATGAAGAAACAGAAGATACTCAGCTTTCTGGCACTTATGAAAGTGAAAACATTAAAAAAGGGGTAATTCATTCACATATTCAGTTACAAAGATAAATGTATCATCATCAGATCACTTTGAAAAACAAGATGTGATTCTTCCTTGTAACCAAGGAAAGCTGACAACATCTCCCCCCTACACTGCAAAAACAAGGCAGTCCTATCACATCCCCTTTCTCTTACAATGACTCCATCCTTTCTCATTTTAAAAACAAAGTATCTCCTAACCTTTGGCCTTTCTGTGGCAAAGGAGACCTGGGAAAGCTCAGAAAAGATCCTACTTCTGCCAGATTTAAGAAAAAAATAAATTAGAGACAAGGCAGTTGAGTTTAGCTCCTCATGTATAAGAATAACTCATGATGTCACCTCCAATTCAGGCACAATTCCTTATCACAAATGTTCAAATGCACAACCAGGACACAAGATAAAGGTAAAAACCAGAAAACTAAGACACTTTCAAAGTAGATCTTAAGAAAAAATATCAGATTTTTTTTAAAAGCTCTTACAGCATGATATATGATAATTTCCTAATAAAGCTACAGAAATTTTTGCCAAGAGAAACATGAAAAAGCCAACAATAGGGAACTGGTCAAATAGATCACAGTAAACCCATAGAAAGAATACTCTGCAACTAGTTAAATGATGTTATAAATGTAAATGATGTTTATCAACTCCATTCAATGGAAAAGTTACAATACAGTATATACCCATCTAAATAAATTACATGTACCTTCTACCAAATTGTTAACTGTAATTATCTCTTGGGAGTTACAATGCTTGCATTTTTTTTCTTTTCTTTCTTTCTTTGTGAGTTTTCTAAATTTTATATACAAAATATATGTATTATTTTAGAATATATACATATGTTTTTGTTTTGTTTAAGGGTCTGCTCAGCAGCTCTTTCAATTAAGCAACTTTTGGTAAGTTCTTCCTGCAAAAGCAGGACAAAAACAGGACAAACAATAGCTGGGGGACAGGAGCAGAAGAGGAAAGGATCTCACGTTAACCGATGGCAGATGCTTTTCACACAGTATATCTAACTACTCAATCCTCAAATCCAATTCTAGGCTGAGGCATTATCACCCTCACTTTACTGTTGAGACACCTGTGGCTCAGAGAGGTTAAGGAGCTGACCCAGGGTGTCACACAGCTGAGTGGCCATCACTGGAACTTGAACCCAGGTCAGCCTGACCCCAAGACCTGGGCTCTTTCCACGATAAAATGTTCTTTCATTCCAACATAAGAATGCTGAATATAGTCTTCAGTAAGGCTTTTAAGAAAACCACAGAGTGGTTATGCTTTGCAAGGAATCCCACAACAAAGGAAACAAGTTCAAAATCAAAATGGAAAACCTATTCTTTAACAGAACACATAATGGCCCCCAAAATTCTCTTAGCTAATCTCTGATACATTGTCCAGGGCTCTTTTCTCCAACTGCTTTGACTGTCTGTACCTTCTTGTTTTTTCGTAAAACCGTCTGGGCCTCCTGTCCATACATTAACACCACAAACATCAGAGTGCAAGGAAACAGCCCCGCATCCGACAAATGGATTTGAGATGAACTTAGACTCATTTGTTTTTCCCAATGACTTCTTGACATTTTATGGCTCATCTTTAATTTCTCAGATCCTATCAACAAGGGCAGTATACCAATGAACAACTGAAAAAGATCTGCAATTTCCAAAGTAGCTTTCACATAATAGCATCTTAAGGCAGGAGGCCCGTGAATATCACTACCGTACCTTACAGCTGCGAAAAGGAAGGTGACGTGCACCAGCTCACAAGTGGGAGAATAGGGCCTCTGTCACATGCTTTCATCTGGAACAACGCTGCCCAAATACTGATCCCTCAACTGGCTGCTCCATCATCATCTGGGGACTCACCCCAGACCTACTGAATCGGAAGCTCTCAGTGTGGCATCTGGGAATGCTACATTTAATAAGCACGCCCAGTGATGCTGATGAGAAGCTGGCCTTTATTTATTTATTTAGGCCACACCCCATGGCATGTGGGATTGTAGTTCCCCGACCAGAGATTGAACCCACACCCCCTGCATTGGAAGCGTGGAGTCTTAACCACTGGACCTCCAGCGAAGTCCAAGCTGGGTTTAATTTAAAAGCACTGCTAAAAGGTAGATCCTAAAAGGCAGATTCTCCTCTAATTACCCTGGGCCTTGACAAGATTCCTGGGGCACATCAAGGCTTGTCAGGCCAGAAAGATGGAGAAGCAGTGAACCAATCACCCAGAGGATAAGCAACTGTACACACAGCTGCATGGAAATATCTGCCCCTCTGATACAAGGCCCTTTAGTTCTGTCACTTGAAGAAAGCACACTTACTTGGTCAGGACAATGGAGACTGCATCGTTGAGAATGCTCTCTCCAAAAACCAGCATGTTGAGCACCGGGTCCACATGAAGTGCATTGAAAATAGCAATAGTAGCCACTGGATCAACAGCAGATATTAGGGAGCCAAATGCAAAACTGTCAAAGAGAAAAGGAAGGGGTAATTCTGTAACGCTTAACCCCTGGTCCACATAGTAAAACATTAAACTCAAAGACTGTATTTAGTATAACAGTACACACTGTAGCTGAAGGAACTACAGAAGATGGTGGTTTTTTCTCCACTTAAAATACCTGCTAATTGACATTGTGGGTGGAGAAGTGAAAGTCCCACTCTATAAGCTGTTGTTATGAATGGCCTGGTTTTCCACTGAGAATACCAAGATTTTATTTTGACCAATGACAGAGGGAAGACTTTTGCTTAAATACATAACAGCCATCCCAGCCTTCTTGGTCAGAACAGCTGGAACCATGGTGGCCCAGAGGGCCTCCCCTAAACGGCCCATGTGCTCCTGGGTCTGACCTCTGCTTTGCCCCTTGCCACCAGGCCAACGGAGTGCCATCTGTGACCAACGCCAGCCTCCACTCAGATCTGCAACATCTAGGAAAGTGCCAAAAGTCAGCAGCAACTCCAGCCTGCTTCAGGAGCTGCACAGCCTGGGAGGCAGACAGCAACAGCAGTGCTGCCTACCACCAGGCCAGCAGCTCTCACCCCAGTACCCACGAGGGTCTAACTACCTCCAACAAATGGGCATTAACTGCCTAATATGTTTCAAGCGCTAAGGCTTTTAAAAAAAAAACATTCATTTATTTGTTTATTTATTTATTTGGCTGCGTCGGGTCTTAGTTGCGGCATGCAGGCTCTTTCGTTGCAGCACGCGGGCTCCAGAGCGTGAGGGCTCAGTAGTTGCGGTGAGGGCTTAGTTGCCCCACGGCGTGTGGGATCTTTGTTCCCTGACCAGGGATTGAACCTGTGTCCCCTGCATTGGAAGGTGGATTCTTAACCACTGGACCACCAGGGAAATCCCAAGGCTTATAATAATAGCAAATGTTTATGTGGCACTTACCACGTGCCAGGCGATGTTCTGAGCACTTTACATACAGTAACTCAATAATCCACAAAGCAACCTTATGAAATGGTACTAGTACTGCTCTGATTACACAGGAGAAAACTGAGGGACAATGAGGTTACGGAACTTGCCCAAGGTCAGAGAGCTAAGAGGTGGCAAAGCCCGGATCCAAACACAGGCCATCTGGCTCAGAGTGGGTGCTCTTAGCCACTACACTGGATACAGCAATACCCGGAGGCCAAGGTCAACTCAGAAAAGGCGAGTGTTACACAGGAAGTCAGGGTGATGAGAGAAAGAGTAACATGGCGGGGTGGTGTGGAGGCATGGGGGTGGGGCCCACTTAGATCGGGGGGTCAGGAAAGGCCTCTCTGAAGAAATGATGCTTATTTAAACGAAGGCCTACCTGACAAGAAGCAGATGGACAGGCCAAGACCTGGGGGCAGTGACCAGAGCAAGCTACCTCTGAGGCGGAGCAAGCTTGGTTGCCTGAGAAACAAAACAGTGAGCCTGGCAGCAGTGCAGTGAGGGCAAGTGGCTGGAAATGTTGGAGTCTGGGAGGGAGGCAGGGCCGGGCCACCCCGCAGGGCCTTGGGGGCCGCCTGAGGAGTCAGGACGATTATTCTCGCAGCCCATTTGTCTCCTTCCCCTTAGAGTTCTTGCAAGCCCTCGTCGCTTCCCTCAAAAGGCCTCGCCTGGCACTGCTTTCCTTCCAGCTCAGCAGAATGGTTAGGTCTGCCCCCTTCCGCAACACAAGGAGCCACGAGGGGACAGCCTCGGGTAGAGACGTGAGCCAGAGCCCATCCACCTGTTTCCCGCCCGCACCAAGCTTGCGGTCTGGGAGGGATGAGGAGCTACCTGGCCTGGGGACTGGAGCGTGCTCTGTCCACCGTATGTCACCAGCAGCCTTCCACGATCATCTGGCTCCGGGCTCCGGGAGAGAAGTGCTGGTGGGAAGGGACGCGTGGCTGCCCTGCCGTTCTCTTCATAAACCGATAAGCTGGCGTACCGGTTTCCGTGGTGTTGACCTGAGTTCGGTTAATATGAATTCATGCAGGAGAGGCTGCTCACTTCAAAGATGGCCTCAGCTCAGACTTCAGTTCCCAGACTTGCCCTGTCCTCACAGAGCTTGTCGGGTGCATTGTGAGCCGTGACTTCACCTGCCTCTCACCTCACTGTGAGCGCCCAGAGATATCTGGGGAAGGCAGGCAGGAGGGAGGGATCCAGGAGGGAAGAAAAGGTAACTCCACCGAACAGCTGCCAACCCGGGAGGCCATGATTTGTTGGCAGCTGGCCTTGAGGCCCTTGCTCTGCAACCCACAGAGATTCTTCTCACCCCTCTCCTTCTTTTATTCCCACTCTCATCACGCACAGCGACATAACAGAGGCCTCGAAGGAAGAAGAACATCTAAAAAGTACATCTTGGGGACTTCCCTGGTGGTCCATTGGTTAGGACTCTGCTCTTTCACTGCCAAGGCCTTGGTTCGATCCCTGGTCAGGGAACTGAGATCCTGCAAGCTGTGCGGCGAGGTCTAAATAAGTTAAAAAAAAAAAAAAAAGTGCATCCCAAAGCGGGGTGGGAGCCTGGGAGTGTGCCGCAGGTTGTGTGCTGGGCGACGACTCTGTGCGGCTCGCGGGCCCCTCCCTCCATCCCTCAGCAAGCGCACAGTGGACAGCACCCACAGCCCCAGTGGGTGTTACCAGTACCGGTAACAGCACTCCAATTTCCCTTTGTGGAGCCAGGCCTCCTCCACCTCCCGTCCCTGTATTGCGTGGGGCTCTAGGAGTAGGCAGGGGACCCAAGCCTGGTCAGAGGTCCATCGCCAGGCATTTTACCAGGTCACCAGATATTAGGTTGGCCCTTTTGGCAGGGACGGCGAGGGTGACCGTGAGCCGAAAGCCACTGGTGCTACCACGTGGGATGAGCGCACCTGAGGATGACGTCGACCAGGGAACAGCTAAGACAGAGAGAGGAGAGGTTCCTGACATCACAGGCCCCCAGAGGCTGTCATGCAGGAAGCCATCACTCCGGGGACACTTCTGTTCTATGAGTCAACAAACTTCTTTTTTGCTAAAACGAGTTCGTGTTGGGTTTCAGTTGCACTGAAAGAGGCCTGGCTGATGTTCTTTGTCATAGTTCCTGTGGCATCCTGAACTGAAAACCAAACAGCAGGAACTAGAAGATGGACTGATGAATGGACAGAGGGATGGAGAGATGGAAAGATCTGTGGTTAAAGCAAATCCAGTGAAAACAGTGACTGTAGAATCCAGGTGGTCACGCGCGTGTCCGCTGTACAGTGGTTCACCGTTTCTGTGTGTTTGAAATTTCCATAATAAAATGTTGGGGGAGAAGCGCTTTGCATAAATTATGTAACACATTTAGCTTTGGCTGAGACTCTAAATTGGGGCACAGTGTTTCTGACAGTGAACATGGAAAGTCGGAAATATGAACTGCCTGAATCATGGAGAGGTCTGAATATAAGCAGTCACTGAATCCTGCCCGCAGCTGTTCCACTTCATACCTTATGACCCAGTCTTTTAAAAGGCCAGAAGCCAGAAGTTCAACTGAACAATGTGTTTTCTTTATTCCATCGTCTCAAAAGACAGCAACGTCAACAAAACAAAAAGAAAATGGACTGGGGGACTTCCCTGGTGGCACAGTGGTTAAGAATCTGCCTGCCAATGCAGGGGACACGGGTTTGAGCCCTGATCTGGGAAGATCCCACATGCCGTGGAGCAACTAAGCCCCTGCACCACAACTACTGAGCCTGCGCTCTAGAGCCCATGAGCCACAACTACTGAGCCTGCGTGCCACAACTACTGAAGCCCGCACACCTAGAGCCCGTGCTCTGCAACAAGAGAAGCCACCGCAATGAGAAGCCCCACTCGCCGCAACTAGAGAAAGCCTGTGTGCAGCAACGAAGACCCAACGCAGCCAAAAATAAATAAAAATTAAAAAAAAAAAAGAAAATGGACTGGGATGGTGAAATACTTTAGGGTATATCTATGAGTGAATTAGCTCTCCAGAGGAAACACCAGTGAAGTAAAACCTTCTGTGCAAAAAAGTTATTTTTATGTTTCCTACCGTGCAGAGGTCCATGGGCCTCATGTTTGACCTGCATGGTGTTTTGAAAAATGGATCAAGTTGGCAACATTTAAAACAGGAAAATTCCCTACTAAAATCCAGAAACGTGGCCTCTTTGGGAAAAAAAACAATTAAGTATCTGGCAATTCTGGGCCCATGTTCCCACGTGGTAATTAGCAGGTGGAGCTAAGAGGTGGCTGTCCCCTTCAGACGATGGGCTCTCTGGCTCACCACTGTCACCACCTCCAGACACACACCTGGCCGGCTCCCCTCTGTGAAGGGTTCTGCCAGGCCCTGCAGCTGTGTGGGTTTGCGACCGCTGGCTAATTTCCCCCAGAGCACCCCCCATCTGTGGGACAGTCACTTTCTAACAGGAAAGGAAGTGTCTGCCCACACACAGAGAAACTCCACCTGGTTCTTACTCTGCTTGTCTAAGGGCCAATTCTTTTATTCCTCTCTTCCTGAATATCCCAACCTCTGGTTCAATTCAATTTCACAAGGATTTATTAAGCGTTTTTTGTATCTCTAAGCAGTTGCCCCCAAACAGGTTGAAGGACTGAATGCTGTGACATCTTCCTTTACATCCACTGGGTTTTGAACATTTCTTTTCAGTTGCAAAATACCTACAAAATGCAGGGCATCAGTTCTGCTCGGCTTCACACTTATGGAACAGGGATGTGACTTTCGCTACTTGTTTGTATAGCAAGACTGTCTTACAACAAAGGCTTTGAAATTTATGTCCCTGGAGAGAAAATGAGGTTGGACTTGATGCTATCAAAGGCACATTTCTCACGAAAAGGGCTCCAAGATTCTAATATCCAAGTTGCTGCTGAAGGCTGTAAGCTCTGGCTGGCCCAGTGAAAGGGACCCCGGGGCTGAGCGCTGGGTCCCACTTCCGAGCTCCCCAGCCAAGCACAAGACAGAATCCAGTGCTCCTGGGAAAGAAACACAGAGCAAGGCTGCATATTCACTGCACTTCTCAGAGACGGGAAACCAGGTCATGCTGTGTGTGTGCACTTTTTTAGCACTAGATCTGGTAACTTCAGCTTCCTAGGTTGCTTCCTGCTAAGTCAATTATGGAAATTTCTGGATTGGGCTCCTAGACAGCAGCTCTGAGTGCCCAATGGAGTATCTGCAGCCTGAGAAGGGTGCCCACCTCAGAGCACCTGCTTCCCCCTCCCCATCCCCACCGCCTTGGGGGGAATCCCAGAGTAAAGATTCACACCTCACCCCCGACTCCATCCCCAGTCTCTCAAGAAGACAACTTTTCATTATGGCCATTGCAAAGCCTTAGAAATGAGTTGAAGATGATTCTTAATAATAAAAGGACAATGGTGCAGTGTGTGGTGTGTGTGAGGTGGCAGTTAACTTAACTAACCAAGAGTTATTCCCTTCAAAGCTGAAACTAGATCATTTCCATCAGCAACCCTCTGACTGGAGATCTTCAAAATTCCTCAATATAGTTTTGACTCATTTCCGAGACACAAATTAATTCAGAATAGATTCTACAGCAGAAACAGTCAGCAAAACGAAAAGACAGAATAGAGAAGTACCACAGCCAGGAATCAATGTGGAGAAAACTTGGCCCCAGTCTGAAAAGTAGCCACATGGGTGTTACAGTATGAAAGGTGTTTACCTGTCTGTCATGTTGAGTTTAGAGATTACATCAGCCTGTAAAATAAAAAACACAAACACACAGACACACAAAAAAAACCCCCTGGAGAACAGCCAAGAAGATTGAAATGTCCATTAGTGCTTTATTACAAACTAATAAGGACATTAATCTTCAGTCCCCAAACCACTTGAAAAATACAGAAAACTCCTAAGTTTTAGTTTAGGCATGCATTCAATCATCATACACAGGAAGTATGAAAATGAACACTAATATTTGCAAAAGCCAAATTAACTAGTTTTCTTCTCTAAAGTTTATTCCCATTTGATGCTAGAAGCTGAGCAATGAAGAAGGTTGCATGACAGACAGATTTATTCTGGTGCCATCGAGGCAGCAGTAAAGGTGAAAATCAGATGGAATGGGCTTTTACCAATAGCCATCAAAAGCAGCAGACACATCTGACACATGTAAGAGAAATCTGCCAGTTACCCCAAGGCCTGAATCTCAAACTGCGTTTGCAGAACGAGGGCGGAGAAACTTTCTGCAACTGACCATACTGGAAGAGAACTGTGACATGCACAGACGTGCATAATGCAAAGCTACAGATACTACCTTCCTAGGTAGGTCTGGTTTAAATTAATTCAAATTAATTTGAATTCAAAGTACAAAACACTCAATTGGTGACACCAGGAACTGGTTTAGCAATGGTGGAAAATCCAGGGAAAATAATTCTACAGGACAGCTTAGAATTGAGTGAAGACATACAGAATCATCTTTGATTTTTAAAATGCAAATTTTTATTAAAGAAACAGTGTTTAACCTTGATTCAGTCTGACAACAGAATTGATACTGTTATAATTTGAAGATCTTGATGGTATATATTCTGCTTCATTTTTAGGTATTCCAACTTAAGACAGTCTTGGTTTGCAAATAATATCAAATACTTTTGGGGATTATGGAAAAGATTCACTCAATTCCAGACACCAAAGCTTCTCGAGGACACTGAGAGACAACTTCAGCATGCCTCTACTGTGCCTTGTTTGAGTCTGGATTTCTTTGCAGGAGAGCATTTACCTTGACTCTAAAAACCCCCATGAGGTGTCACTACCCCACTTCCCTGCATGAGCTCTAAGAATGTAAGGTTTTCAAAGTTTTTCAAAGACGTTTTCCTTACCTGACCCAGAAAGTAAATTCCTCCACCTACTACAAAAGCGGAAATTGCCGTACCAAAAACAGCAAATAGGGTGATGGAACCAATATTTTGAAAGAAGTTACCCTGTTTGAGAGAAGAGAAATGAGAGGAATGATTAGAAAGGCTGGTCTGCTCAGTGAAGTCATGGACCCCACAGCTGGCCCTCCTCGCATGCTTGATTCTCTGTAAAGGGCACCATCACCCACCTTGGTTGGCAAGCTCTAGAAACCTGGGCATCTTCCCTCACCCCCACATGCAATGCAGAGCCAAGTCCTGTGGCTTCTGCGTTCCCCACGTCACTCACATCTCCCTGCTTCTCTCCATCACCATCCCCACCGCCCTTGCCCAACTGCCATCATCTCTCCCCTGGACCACTGCAATAGCTTCTAACAAGTCTCAACCATCCCTGGCCCTTGCCCTCTTGCTCTCCAAGTGCTTCCAGAATGATCTCTGCAAAAGATAAATCTGACTGTGCTGCCTACATTCTGACCCCCACTTCCACTCAAAACGCAGTTAAAACCCAACCAAAGCCTGGATGGTTTGACCCCTCGAAGGCCTCTAACCTCCCCTTTGTTCTCTGGGTTCCAGTCACACTGGTAGCTTTTTGTTTTTCAAACACATCACGCTCCCTGGGCTTGGACCATTCTTCCTTCCCCTTCGCTTAGTGAACTTTAATCGTCCCAAGATCTCAGGACATTTTGACTCTTCCTGAGGGAAGCCTTCTCTGATCCCTTACCCAAGTCAGATCCCAGTCTATGCTCTCAATGCACAGTGACTCTCTCCTGGTAGCACTTGACATAGCTGAAACGTTACATTTATTTATGTAATTATTTGGTATCTGTCTTTCCCACTAGGCTGCAGGCTCAATGGGGGCAATGACCACATCCGCTTTTGTACAACATAGTCACTGGCATACTGCCTGTCAGATGCAAGATGCCCCATGAATAGGTACTGAAGGAATTAACTGTGTTTCATGTCTGATTAAAGTCCAAAGTTTATATAATTATAATTTTTCAATTAATTAAGAAAAGGTACATTGCTACAAAGAATGTCAAGATAATAGGTTATACTATCAGAAGCTCCTTTTTGTAGTCCACATCTTTTAAGCAATTTTATTTCACTCTATTAGTATCATCAAATATGATAGATAAAATATATTCCCATCTATACAGCATTTAAGAGAAAATATTTGAGTCCAAGCAGTATGGTAACATCTTTCAAATTTCCATAAAATTAAAAAAATTAAGCTATTTATTAGAATCCTGTGGACTCTGTTTAGGAATAAGGCCAGGGTAACTTGATGGTCCGTGATTGTGGGTCTGGACAAGGAAAACCATTTTTTCGCTCAGAAATTGTCAAGCCATAGACAACAGGAACTGATACTTTTTTTTTTGGCCACGTCATGCAGCTTGTGGGATCTTAGTTCCCTGACCAGGGATTGAAACCCGGGCCCTCGGCTGTGAAAGTGGTGAGTCCTAACCACTGGACCACGAGGGAATTCCCAGGAACTGATACTTTAAAGCTCACTTCAGAAGACCGTCCTCAGCTCAGCACTGACAACCCACTAAGCCTATCTCCTTCAGGAAGTTTCTTTGCTTCATTTTTTGCAATTTTGATTTGGCTGACCATAATCAGACATTCAATTACTTTGTTTGGCATATCAATCTTTAGCACACAAAGAACTTTAAAATAGCTCAAGGCAAACACAATGATTTGGTTTTTTCTTAAACAAAAGGCTTTCATCTATGAGTTTTTCTTTGCAGAGAGCTGCTTAATTTTGTTATTTAAAAATAGATTACACTAAGTCTTGGTCTGTTTATAGGGATCTAATTCTGATATAACTTACGTAGTTGGCTAATATTAATCTGGATGTTGGAAAGTTACCCAAATTCAAGTTGCCCCACTATAAGAACTTCCCTTTGCTACATAAAGCAAATTTATCTGCTTCTCTCAGACATAATTTAAAAAACGTTCTATTCTTGGGCTTCCCTGGTGGCGCAGTGGTTAAGAATCTGCCTGCCAATACAGGGAACATGGGTTCGAGTCCTGGTCCCGGAAGATCCCACATGCCGTGGAGCAACTAAGCCTGTGCACCACAATTACTGAGCCTGCACTCTTAGAGCCCGTGAGCCACAGCTACTGAGGCCCACGTGCCTAGAGCCCGTGCTCCGCAACAAGAGAAGCCACCGCAATGGGAAGCCCGCGCACTGCAATGAAGAGTAGCCCCCCACCAAAAAAAAAAAAAAAAAAAAAAAGAGTAGCCCCCGCTCGCAGCAACTAGAAAGCCCGCGCGCAGCAACGAAGACCCAATGCAGCCAAAAGTAAATAAATAAATATTTTAAAAAGTTCTATTCTTTATATTAATAATTTAAAAAACCAAATAGCTGCCTACCTAATACATACCAACTGATGATAATTGTACTGAAATTTTTATTCCAAGTCCAAACTTACATCAGCAAATATAGCAATATTAAAATAAAGTCAACCTCCTATCTTCTTTGGGGGTGGGTAGACAGTGGACAGAAGTCTCTGAATTCCCATTCCAACTCACACTAGTCCCTTTCACATAAATTGTCACAGTTTCTGCTGTAAAGCCATCTTCAAAAATTTCTTCTCTTAAGAAACTACTATTTTCCTCAAATTTTGAATAAGTTTATTTCCCCTCCCTCCAAAAAATTAGAAAATAAAAACTTTACATGTGCTAATATAATAACCAGTCTTATGTTTTTAAGTCAAAATCGAATCATTTTTCGGGAGTTCCCTGGCAGTCCAGTGGTTAGGACTCTGTGCTCTCACTGCCGAGGGCCCAGGTTCAGTCTCTGGTCGAGGAACTAAGATCCCACAGGCCGAGTGGCAGCCAAAGGGGGGGAAAAAAAAAAAATCAATCCATTTTCTTCAGCACTGTTTTGAAATATTTTCATAATCTGCTCAGTTCTTTCAAGATTTGTTCACAAAATTAAAGAGTGAGAGATACTGACCTTCAAATCCTTCTTGCTTGTTTTCTTTTTAACAATTATCTGATGTCAGGAATGGTTTATAAGATATGGGATTTTTTAAATATTAAACTTCCTTTTCACTTTTTCTTTTGATTAATGCACAATAAAATAATAACTTAAAAAAAAATCTGACCTGAACATCTTAGAATAATTTTGCTTTAATATCCAGGAAGAAAATTAAAAATTTAATTTGTATGTTTTTACCAAAACTCTCATAACAAATTTAACTCGTTTATTACATTGTTATTAATAATAACACTAGTCATGTTATAATAGATAATAACAAGAAGCACTACCAATTATTTAATGTGGTGAGTGGTGCTTTGCATACATTCTTTCATCTAATGTAAATCTCAAAGCAACCTAGGAGGTAAGGTTTTGGGGATCTTTTTGTTCTCTGTTTTTAATTTCTACTCTACTCAAAAGGAACCTATAGGGGGCAGCGCATGATTAGGCCTAGGTCTCTCTGGCTCTAAAGTCCAGGCTCTTTCCTCTCTCCAAAGATACGCCGAACCTTAGTCCTTCCAACCTTCACCGTTTTTTAAAATCACATTTACAAAATAACTGTTGTATTACTAGTATTTTAAGTTGAATCACCTTTTTATTTTAAAACTTAAATACACTTATATTTAAAAAGAACTCATATGGACTTCCCTAGTGGCGCAGTGGTTTAGAATCCGCCTGCCAATGCAGGGGACACGGGTTCGAGCCCTGGTCCGGGAAGATCCTACATGCCAGGGAGCAACGAAGCCCGTGCACCACAACTACTGAGCCTGCGCTCTAGAGCCCGTGAGCCACAACTACTGAGCCTGCGTGCCACAACTACTGAAGCTCACACACCTAGAGCCCATGCTCCGCAACAAGAGAAGCCACCACAATGAGAAGCCGGCGCACCGCAATGAAGAGTAGCCCCGCTCGCTGCAACTAGAGAAAGCCCGCAGGCAGCAACGAAGACCCAACGCAGCCAAAAATAAATAAATAAATGTATTTAAAAAAAAAAAGTTTGCTATACAAATTAAAAAAAAAAAAAAAAAGGAACTCATAGACAAGGAAAAGACTCAGGTACACACACAAACTGGCTTAAAAGTGAGAAGCTCCTGCCCAGGCAGAAAGAGCCCCACTGGAAGCTGGAAGACAGAGACCAGAAATGCCAGAGCAAAGCAGAGAACTGAGCAGGGGCCAGTGATGCTGCTCTCCAGGGTCAGGGAGCCAAGAATGAGCGGAGCAACTGTGGGAGTAGGTGACTGGGCCAGAAGGAGGTGGAAGACTAGGGGGAAGGATGGGGCTCCAGTCTGGTGAGGAAAAGCAGGGCCAGGGAGAGGGTGGGAAGGAATGGAGACTGGGGCTTAAAGGGCATAATGGCTGGGAGCTGAGGCCCAGGGCAGTGCCCTGAGAGGGGAGACACTGAAGAATGGATGGGCCCAAGGCAGGAGAAAGGCCCGATATGGTGACGTGAGAGAACCAGTAGGCCTGGGGCACCTGTCCCTGTCATCCCAGGACACAGTCTGTCCTCTTAACATGGGTCAGTCTGTGTCCAAGAGGAGTCAAAGTAACACCTGTGTACCATCAAAATCACTTTGGCTATTTCTTTCTGGGCAAAGAACCCCTCTATGGAAAACACTAGTAAGCCACACTGCCTAAAACCATGAAAGCAGCCCACTGACCATGTTTGCTCCCTCTACAAGTCAGGCATGACAGTCCAGCTTCCACCACACACGCCAGGGTGTTCACACAGAGCCACCACTGCTAAATTAACACCTGAGCTTTTAAGGAACTTGCCTTACAAGCACACGGAGCCGGGCTTCCCTGGTGGCGCAGTGGTTGAGAGTCCACCTGCCGATGCCGGGGACACGGGGTTGTGCCCCGGTCCGGGAGGATCCCACATGCCGCGGAGCGGCTGGGTCTGTGAGCCATGGCCGCTGAGCCTGTGCGTCTGGAGCCCGTGCTCCGCAAAGGGAGAGGCCACAACAGTGAGAGGCCCGCGTACCGGGAAAAAAAAAAAAAAAAAAAAAAAAAAGCACACGGAGCCACCCGGACCAAAAGCACTAATGTGTGCCTGAGCCTTACCTTGTGTAATGAATATCCTGACTCAAATATAATAGGTGGAAGCAAAAGGAGGAAAAACATATTTGGACGAAACATTTCTTCCTCCTGTAAATATAAAATGGATATTTTCAGAGGCATGAAATCTGTGTAATTAAGAAATAAATCCATCAATGAAAAGCCAAAGTAACTGTTCTCTTAGAACCTGGCCCAGTGGAAAAATACAATGCTTAAACCACCACCTGATAATAAAACCAAACAAAAGGAGCGACAAAAACAAACAAAAGGAGAGACAAAAACAAACAAATATACAAAAACCTCAAAACCTGCATTTAAAAATGTAGGACAAATGATTTTAAAAGGTGACAAATAAATAGCAAAATAAATAGCAGAATGAACCACTTCCAAACATACAGCGGTATGCTTTTTATTCTTTACTAAGGAAAGAAAACTAATTTTAATATAGAAAACAAGAACACTTTTTTAATATAGAAATAGAACACTTTCAAAAACAAGTCCACAAATTGGATTCCTCCAGGACAAAGGTTAACGGCAAGCCCTAAAACAATCCACTTAGAGGAAGAGTAAACCCTACTCATGTTTAAAATAGCCCTGCCTTTTCTCTGCATGTCATAGACAACTCTGCCATTTTCCTAAATCTGATGTGATGAAACAGTCCTCACCTAATGCCCCTGCAACCTGGGACATGGCTATAAAGCGAGCCCCTTGCCATGCTCTCAGATTCAAATATTAAGTACCATTATGAAAGGTATTTTTAGAATATGGCCACCTTTGGGGGGAATGGAATAATAATTGCATCTTCTATAGTAATACAGTTCTCTAGCTGTTGGTGGATTGGGGGAAAATACATACTGGTTCTCAAACCCAAAATGACTACAGGTAATACGCAGTCTATTTAATACTGCAAAATCAGGCCCTTTTCATATGAAAACTTCTATGCCACAATCTTGACAGTCTGACTTCTTGTCAAAATCCCTATTCAAAAGAATGATAAACGTATCCTTACAAATGTACGGCTGTTACCATAAAGACTAAAATAACATTCAAAAAAGGCTCAAAATAGAAGCAAATGATGACTTCTGAAAATGCCTTATTAAGTCTTAAAATAACTGCCTGTATCACAAGCTCATGACTCAGACTGGGGCCATGTGAAAAGAAATGGGCCGATCTCTGTGCTTTGTGGGGCAACCTATTCGCAGGATCTGTGCAGTTGGGCCACTGCAGAGACTCTGGGAGTTTCAGAAACAAAACATCCCCTGGGAAAAAGGAGAACCCACCTGCAGTGGGTTCACAGCGTCCTCTCCTCCCAAATCATGGGACCTGGAACCTCAAAATGCGACCTGATTTGAAAATAGGGTCTTTGCAGATGGAATTAAGGGAAGAATTACAGCTGAGATCATACTGGATTAGGGTGGGCCCTAAACCCAATGACAGTGTCCTTAAAAGAGACAGAAAGGGACACACAGACACAGAGATGAAGGCACATGAGGACAGACTGAAGCAGAGACAGGAGTCAGGCTGCCATCACCAAGGAATGCCTGGGACCACCTGAAGCCGGAAGAGGCAGCGAAGGATTCTCCCCTAGGGCCTGGATTCGCTCCCTTGAGGGAGTGTGGCCCTGCCAACACCTTGATTTCAGACTTCTGGCCTCTAGAACTATGAGAGAACAAATCTCTGCTGTTTTAAGCCACCCAATTTGTGGTAATTCGTTACAGAAGCCACAGGAAATGCACACACCACCTTACAGTGAATAGTGTTACAGAAAGATCCCAGGTTCCTTTGGGCAGTATCTCCCTAAAATGATCTGATGTGGTTTTAGGTGGTACTTGAGCAATGTGTGTCCAATACCACTGACCCCACGGATTGAGAAAGTCAGCCCTTTTTGATTTTTTCTCAGTCCCAATTAAGTCAGACGCGTCAGTTTGGTGCTACCGTGTTAAGCCTCTCTCCAATATGCTGATCCCCCTTTTTGACAAAGAGGACAGGCTTGACCTCAGAGGCTTCAGCAAGCAAATGTACCACTTTGTTTTTATCATATTTATTTATAAAAACAATATTGGTTTCCCACTTAAAACAGTATTATAAGGTTTCCTTTAAAATAAATGTATATAGTACACCAACGTTCAAAGCAGCATTATTCACAACAGTCAAAAGGTGGAAACAACCCCAGGGCCCATCAACAGATGAATGGATAAACAAAGTGTCGTATATACTGACCATGGAATATTATTCAGCCATAAAAAGGAAACAAGTTATAACACAGGCTACAAAGTGGATAAACCTTAAAAACATCATGCTAGGTCTTCCCTGGTGGCGCAGTGGTTGAGAGTCCACCTGCCGATGCAGGGGACACGGGTTCGTGCCCCGGTCCGGGAAGATCCCACATGCCGCGGAGTGGCTAGGCCCGTGAGCCATGGCCGCCGAGCCTGCGCGTCTGGAGCCTGTGCTCCGCAGCGGGAAGAGGCCACCAACAGTGAGAGGCCTGCGTACCGCAAAAACAAAACAAAACAAAACAAAAAAAACACATCATGCTAAGTATTGATAAAATAAGCCAGATAAAAAAGGACAAATATTATATGATTCCACCCATTTGAGGTACCTAGAATAGGTAAATTCATAAACACAGAAAGTAGAATAGGGGCTACTAAAAAAATAGAAAATACTAAGAAAAATAGAAAGTAGAAAACAAAGTAGGGAGAGAGGAATAGGGAATTGTTTAATGGGTAGAGTTTCTGTCTGGGATGATGAAAAAATTCTGGAAATAGATAGTGGTGATGATTAAACAACATTGTAAATGTATTTAATGCCACTGAATTGTACACTTAAAAATGGCTAAAATGCTAAATTTTATGTTACATGTATTTTACCACAATAAAAGCTTTTAAAAAACTGTTATAAAGACATATATACACAAAAAAGCAAGTTGACTTAAAGAAATATATTAAGCATATGACAATATAGGTAGAAGGCAGGCCCAGGAGGACAGTCTGGAAACAGACCTACACGGAAAGAAAACACCCAGCAACTCCACTGTTTTTCTTACCTCCCCTGTTCCCTGCAGCACCCAGTTTCCAAACAGATCCTACTTCCTGCTTTGGCTTCCACAAACACCTGCTCCTCCAGAAAGCCTGCCCAATGGTTTTAGCCTAAAAACCTCACCCGTTTCTGAGGCCAAGCACTGGTTGTCTAGATGGCTCTTCAGGGCACTTAATTACATTCACCACCCAACTGTGGTTCACTCATCTATACTATTCAATATATTATTATTATTTAACTTGAAAACTAACATCTGTTGAAAAATAAATTTAATAATACCGAAGCATATAAAACTAAAAGTAAAAGATAACCTTTCCTCCTCCTGCTCGGAGAAGGGATCATACAGCATTCCCTAGGGCTGCAGCTGCACTCAGTGCCTCAGATCTCTGCTGTGGGGAATGTGGACCTGGTGTTGAGAGAGCTTCTGCTTCTTTGAGAGAAGCTAGAAGTTCAAATTTTTATGTGAGAACTTCCCTGGTGGCGCAGTGGTTAAGAATCCGCCTACCAATGCAAGGGACACAGGCTTGAGCTCTGGTCCGGGAAGAGCCCACATGCCTTGGGGCAACTAAGCCCGTTAGCCACAACTACTGAGCCCGCATGCCATAACCACTGAAGCCTGCGTGCCTAGAGCCCGTGCTCCACAACAAGAGAAGCCTGCTCACGACATCAAAGAGCAGCCCCCACTCACTGCAACTAGAGAAACCCTGCACGCAGCAACGAAGACCCAATGCAGCCAAAAATAAATACATTAACTTTTTAAAAAGATTACAAATTAAGCAGTTTAAAATATTTTTAAAAATCCATGTGAAATTTCTAGAATTTTGTATAGATTAATAACATTTAAAATAAAACTGGGGGCACAGTTCTTGAGGCGTTAACCTACTGTGTTCCCCCTTTGCCTGGCAAAGAAATAAAGCCACTCTTTCTTTCTCCTCCATGAAAAACAAAATAAAACAAAACAAAAAACTTAATGATTTTTTAATTGTTTTAAAATCGATTCCAATTTTGATCAATTGATTTTAAATCAAACAAAATGTGTTAGCAGGTGGTATTTACACATCAAGCTCTATCTAGTCTAAGAGTTGAGAAACAGTGTACAGTCAGTTGCTCCTGCCCTAGAATGAGCCACTGTGAGGGGGGTTAAACTGAAGGGCCACCAGGGAAGCCCTGTTTTGCAAATTTATACTCTACAGTTCCACAGGTAAATTAATCCTCACACCTAGGAGCTGTGTCCAAGTAGGAAGGGCTCAAACGTGACACATTTTAACCATACAATTCTTTTAATATTTTGAAATGGACCTTATTTCCCTCCACAAAATCAGTTTTGTTACACACTTGTTAAACTCCCTACTCGATATAGATGCTCAAAGTTTAAGCTGAAACTTGAGTTTCAATTAGTCCTTGGACCTCACGCTCTAATGACCATTGTGTGAACGTAAGGGTGGGAACATCCACAAGTGAGGACAGCATGGTGTGGCAGAGAAAATATAGAACACATAGGACCAGAGGGTCTGGACACAAGAGCCAACCCAACCGCTCTCTAGCTCTGTGATGTTAGACATGTCCCAACCTCTCAGAGGTCACTTTCTTCATCTGTAAAAATGGGGATAATACGTGGTCAATCTACCTCCATGGTTGTCATGAGGATGACAAAAGCTACAGTATATAAAGCATTCTGTAAGGTCTACAGTGCTGGGCAGATATGTCTTATTGGGCTCAGCTGTCAGAATGGAATTAGGAGCAATAAACATTGTTTAATGTTAAATGCTAATTAGAGCCTTGTATACAGCAAGTTAGTCTAAGATTATAAAAATGCAAGTAAATAACAAAACATGGCATTGAATGCTCCTATGTTAATTTGAAACAGTGTGAGATTTATGCTTTTTCAAAAAACTCAGATGTAAAGATATCAACCGTAATCTACCAGAATGTTAAAAAATTAATGGGACAATATAAACTTCACCGACAGTCAAGGAATGATAAGAAAGCCACCATAATTAGTGTTACTAAACTTAAGAACCAATAAAAATTGTAAATATGTTAAAAAAAAGAACAATTGGGTAAACCTACCTTCCAATTTGCCAGTTTTTTAAACTCTATAATTTTTATAACTGCTCCCATGAGAATACCTAGAAGAGAAAATGTAAAGTTTAACAAAAATTTAAGATGTAAGAAAGATTACTCAGGTTTATTATTCTAAAGAAACTGATTATTATTACATCTCTAAATGGCATCTATGAATTTCTGCAAGTTTTACGTCTGAAAACATTAAGAATGGAAATTAGTATGGAGTTTTATGAATCACGTGAGTTTCTCACTTGCATCTCAGGCAAACATACTATAAAGAAGTCTAGGGCTTCCCTGGTGGTGCCGTGGTTGAGAGTCCGCCTGCCAATACAGGGCACACGGGTTCGTGCCCCGGTCCGGGAAGATCCCACATGCCACGGAGTGGCTGGGGCCCTCAGATGGTAGCTCTATGTAGAGTATTTAGTTAGAGTTAAAGCCCCAATGCTAAAAATAACCTAAAGTGAAAACTCTGTGAAATTCCTGGAACAAAACAGACTATCTTAGCTCAGGCATGTTTCCACAAAGCTGACAGGCTCATTACTCTCTCATAAAGAACCTACCAAAAATAATTCTCGAAGAAGCATCATGGGTACAATTTATGATTGCTCTGTTACTCACTAGATTAATGATTCTTAACCCTGTGGCCTCATCAGAATCATCATGGGAGCTTTTTATGAAATAAAGACACCTGAGCAGAACTTGGGATCTGCAAAATAACAATCTCTGGTAGGGGGTTACAAAGCAAGGCTGAAGACCACTATCACAGATGCTTAAAGACAGACTTCCCTTTCGGACTTCCCTGGTGGCGCAGTGGTTAAGAATCCGCCTGCCAATGCAGGGGACACGGGTTCGATCCCTGGTCCGGGAAGATCCCACACGCCACGGAGCTACTAAGCCCGTGTGCTATAACTACTGAGCCTGTGCTCTAGAGCCCACAAGCCACAACTACTGAAGCCCACGTGCCTAGAGCCCGTGCTCCGCAACAAGAGAAGCCACTGCAACGACAAGTCCACTCACCGCAACGAAGAGTAGCCCCTGCTTGCTGCAACTAGAGAAAAGCCCGCATGCAGCAATGAAGACCCAATGCAGCCAAAAAAAAAGACTTCCCTTACCCCTAGAGGGGAAGGAGCTTTTTCCCATCAACAACAGAAAGCTGACGAAACACACCTTATTGGGTGGGGTGAGAAGAAAATACAAAAACACAGAGTTTATTAGGAAAAGAAGCTGCACTAACACTAATTGTCATGGGGAAGGAGGGGTTTGAGGTGAAGAGAGGATCAGTTAATTTTAACTTTATAAACCTCTCTATTATTTGTATCGTTACATATTAGTAAAAGACCAACAAAACTTTTTTTTTTTTTTTTTGCGGTACGCGGGCCTCTCCCGTTGCGGAGCACAGGCTCCGGACGCGCAGGCTCAGCGGCCATGGCTCACGGGCCCAGCTGCTCTGCGGCATGTGGGATCTTCCCGGACCGGGGCACGAACCCGTGTCCCCTGCATCGGCAGGCGGACTCTCAACCACTGCGCCACCAGGGAAGCCCAACAAAACTGTTTTGATAAAAAGGATATAAGGGGCTTCCCAGGTGGTGCAGTGGTTGAGAGTCTGCCTGCCGATGCAGGGGACACGGGTTCGTGCCCCGGTCCGGGAAGATCCCACATGCCGCAGAGCAGCTGGGCCCGGGAGCCATGGCCGCCGAGCCTGCGCGTCCGGCGCCTGTGCTCCGCGGAGGGAGGGGCCGCAGCAGTGAGAGGCCCGCGTGCCGCAAAAAAAAAAAAAAAAAAAAAAAAAAAGGATATAAGACGAAATAGGTCTGAGCTATAAAGGGAATCAATGATCAATGACATTTTCAGAACAGTAATTGTACATTCACTTCCACGTGGCATGAAAGCACTGATTCTAACCCCTCTCTAGAGTTCCCCAGTTGCTTCCTTTTCCTTATATTTTTAAACTGTGTATATATTTTAAGGAGTTTTCATACAGTTTTTTATTAACCAGATAGTTCATGAATACTTTGTAAAATGTTATAAATAAGACAAAAGTCCCTTTTGATGAAATCCCACCCCCACTAGTTCTCTCTCTCCCTGCCCCAAAGTAACCAAGCATCTTGATAAGTCTGGGGACTATTCTACCAGACCCTTCTCTATGCTCTTACATATTTATATTTACCATACAGTACTAGGGGGTGTGTGTATGTAACACATGGCACACATGTGTATTTATATAAAACTTATGGTACTATAATGCATCTTTTTTTTTCTTGTTTTTGGCTGCCCGGCACGTGGGATCTTAGTTCCCAGACCTGGGATCGAACCTGTGCCCCCTGCAATGGAAGCACACGGGACCTCCAGAGAAGTCCTATAGCAGGTAGTTTCTACTACCTGCTATTTTGCTCAGTGTTATGATTGGGGTGACTACATATAGATCTGCCTCATTCCTTTTTGACAGCTCTAGAGCACAGCATAAAGATGCCACAGATTGAATAGACATTTCTCCAAAGAAGATATACAAATGGCCAATAAGCACAAGAAAAAAAGACGCTCCACATCATTAGTCATTAGGGAAATGGAAATCAAAACCACAATGAAACACCAGTTCATACCCACTAGGACAGCTATAACTTTTTTTAAATAGAAAATAAGTGTTGGCAAGGATATAGAGAAACTGGAACCCTTAATACATCAATGGTGGAAAAGTAAAATGGCACAACTGCTGTAGTAAAACAGCAAAAAAGTAAAAAAGTAAAACAGAATTACCATATGACCCAGCAATTCTACAAAGGAGAATAAAAAGCCTATGCTCGTACAGAAACTTGTACATGGATGTTCATAACAGCATTATTAGCCCAAAGGTGGAAACAACGCAAGTGTCCATCAACTGATGAATGGATCAACAAAATGTGGTATATCCACACGATGGAATGTTATCCGGCAGTAGAAAAGAATGAAATACTGACACATATTGCAATGTGTGGATGAGTCTTGAAAACATGCTAAGTAAAAGAAGCCAGACACAGAAGACATCTTTTATGACCCATTGATATGAAATATTCAGAACTGGCAAATCTATAGATTGCCTTTGTCTCTATAGAGACAGAAATGGTTTCCTGGGGCTGGGGAGGAGTTTCAGGGATAGCTAAAGGGTATGGGGCTTCTTTTTGGGGTGACGAAATGTTCTAAAATTGTTGTCATGGTTGCACAACTCTGTGAATATACTAAAACCCTGGACTGTACGTTTAAAACGAGTAACTTGCATGGTATGTGAATTATATCACAATAAAACGGTCACCCCATCCTCACCCCCGAACGGCCAGATCGTATGGGTCCATTCATATGAAATGTCCAGAACAGACAAATCTAGAGACAGGAAGTAGGTTAGTGGTTGCCAGTGGAAAGGGGAGGGGGAAAATGGGCAGTGACTGCTAATGTGCAGAGAGTATCTTTTTGAGGTGATAAAAGTGTTCTGGAATTAAGATAGTGGTGATGGCTGCACAACCCTGTAAATATACTAAAAAGCACTGAATTCTACACTTTAAAATTATAAAGTTTATGTTATATAAATTCTACTTTACTGTTTAAAAAATTTTATTGTAGTTGATTTTCACTGTCATGTTAGTTTCAGGTAAACATATATATATATATTTTTTTTTTCAGATTATTTTCCCTTACAGATTATAAAATATTGAGTATAGTTCCCTATGCTATATAGTAGGTCCTTGTTGGTTATCTATTTTATATATAGTAGTGTGTATGTGTTAATCCCAACCTCCTAATTTATCCCTCCCCTCCATTTTAATTTTTTTAAAAGTCACTATCTTTTTAACGTTCCCCCAATGATGGCTGTCTCCAACTGTTTGCCATTAACAGCTGCAGTGAACATGCTTGTATGTGCCTCTTTGTGTAAGAGTATCTCCCTAGGGAAGATCCAGAGACAGTGAATGGCATGAGCATTTTTATCTCTGAAAACGTTGCCAAATTGTCCTCCAAAGTGGCTGTGCCGATTTACACCCCTTGCACCAAAGTATCCTCACCAACCCTGGAAAATCATCAGACTTTAACACTTCTGCCAGTATGAGGGGCAAGAAATTGTACTTTAAGGTTTCGATTTGCATTTACAGTCAATCTGCACTCAGTAATCATTCCTGATTACTAGGGAAGTTGGAACTATTTTCATGATTTCAGATTTAATTTTTAAAGCTAGTGTTTTTCTGTGCTACTAAACCTCAACTTTCTTTTTCCTTTGTAAATGTACACCAAAAATGTTAATACTATGATCAATGCTTTTGTAATTAATACACATGAAGCAATTACATTTGAGAATCAGTGATTATTCTATTGCCTAAGCTTGTTTCTATATTATTATTAATGAGGCATTGGAAAGCTTTGTAAAATACAATATGATATTATTACTACTATTACTATTATTACTATTATATGAGTAATCCTTTTGAAATGTCCTAGGACTGAACTATGGTACAATATTAAATTGGCAAACTCCTCCTTTACCTTTTGAGATTGAGGTTCAAAGTTAGGTCAAATCAACCTAGTGTCCAGGAGAAACTAATTTATACCATACAACCAGACACCCTGGAAATAATACCCTAGATACAATTTTGTATATTCCTATCAGTAAAAAGAATTTGAGCATGCACCTTCAAGTTACAAATTTTTATTTTATTATTATTAAAAAAGTGCTGCTATATCAATGTATTTTAAAATAACACAGGGAATTGGCTTTCCAGTGGTTAGGATTCCACACTTTCACTGCCGAGGGCCCAGGTTCAATCCTTGGTCGGGGAACTAAGATCCCACAAGCTGTGCGACACAGCCAAAAATTAATAAAATAAATAACACAAAAAACAGAGATTGTGAGGGAGATTCAAATTAAATAGAAACGTAAGTTCTAATATTTCCTTTTGCCTCCTATGGATCTTCATACACACACCTCATTATGGATGCCACTGGATTAAGTCAAAGGATCAGGAGTAATTCATAATTATTTGTTGAGACCCTTCTCCCAGGATCTGTCAGGTTAAATTATTCTTACTCCTCAAGAGAATGCTCC